GCCCGACCCCGCACCCCCGCCCCCGCTGCCAGTCAACCCCGGCCCCGCACCCGGCTGAGCCCCGGCCCCGGCCCCGCGCCCGCACTGCCCCGGGCTCATAAGGGTGGGGTGTAGCCCCGGGGGGGGCCCGAGGTCAGGCCAAAACTGCAATATTGCAGTTTGGCCCAGGGGGTGCAGGCTGCGGCTGCGCACCCCCCTGTATTTTTTTATTTATTTTTTGGATTTTGTTTTGGATATTTTTTTTATTTTATTTTTTTTTAATACTTTTTTTGCCGGGGCCAGGGGTGCCGACCCCCGGCCCCCGGGACCCCCGCCGGGGCCCCGGGGCCGGGGCTCGACAACCCTGGCGTCTAGCATCAGATACACCTTACCCCTACTACGTCCCGTGCAGATATCTGCTCCTCAGCCTCTATCAGACCACATGCATGGAACCTACAACAACCTGACAGGAGTGACTCAATGCAGAAAGAGATGACATACTCTCAAGACAGACTCGAGTGCAGCAAGTACCAAGGTGAGAGCATGAAAGGACAAGGGTCAGGGCCTAAAGAAATTAAACGGTTCCTTGGTCTGCGCTCCAAGCTTGGTCAACGGTCAACTCAGTCAACTGTGCCGGTCAACGCTTGCCATCAATGCTTGCTGGTCAATGCTGGCCGGTCAATGTTTGCTGGCCAATGTTCGCTGGTCAACGCTTGGTGGTCAACTCTCAACTTCTTCTTCTTCCTCAAGCTCGGCTATGGCCGACTTCTTCTGCTTCTTGGTCGGCTATGGCTGCTCTCACCTTCTTTTTTGTCACCTCTCCCTTCTCTCCCGTCACTTTCTTCTTCTTCGTGTTTCTTCCTCTTCTCCAAGCTGGCAGCAATGGCTGCCGTCTGCTATGGCGGTCTTGCTCACGCGCGTCCCCCTCTCACTTCTACGATGCTTGCGCAGACAACGGGAACCAGCTCTGTTACCAATGCAATCAGACTTGATTTCAACTTTGCAGGTGCCGATGGCAGAACAACTTCCTCGAAGTAGGATCAGCAGCAAGAGTGAGATGGCACAGGGAGCCCACACAGAAAACTCATTATGGCCTTCAGCCAGCCACTCAGCTCAAATCAACCTGTCACATCTTGTAGCTATGGTGTCTGAGCGCCGGTCTGAAATTCCCACCTGCACACTGTATCAACCCTCAGACTCACTCCACTCACTCGCGCACACGTACACATGCACTAGGATCTATCCTGAATGTCCGCGCACACACACACTTACACACACATCCTATCTGTGACACTCACGGCTATGGCTGCCGTGGTCTGCCTCCTACTAGCGGCTATGGCCGCTCACCCTCTTCCAACTCCGGGCACTGGCTGACGACCGGTGAACTTCAACGCACAAGTCACTTGGGCAGCACTTCCACGTAGTCCACCAGATAATGAATGAATGGCTGGTCGTTGCCTCTTCATTTATACTGTTTCGTTAGGTGGTCTGGGCCTGCCGATGTCCCAGGCCCGTAGGATGTGCAGTCCCATTTGATACTTGTTGACTAGACTTGGACTGGGACTGTACTTGCTGACTAGACTAGGGACACTTGACCTTTCAGAGTCTGAGGGACTGACTCCGAAAGCTCCGAAGGGTCAGTTTGACACTTCTAGAACCTCCCAGACGACGATTGACCGACCTTTCACCACACATAGGGCTAGACCTATAGACTGACTTTAAGACTAACTGTAGGTCTACGGTTCAAGTCCACACAACCCAAACTATATACGCAGAACATTTGTACACGAGTTTAGGGACAGGTTGCGGGTTCAAAACACACAGGGTCAACGGGCGACTATACAGTGGCTGGGGAAGGTATGGGGATAGTGTCTTGGTGTCTGCAATATTGTGCGAACTCGGTGAAACCCTTTCACTTGTGGGGAAAGCAGCAACAGGCCAATTTTGCATGGCGTGAAAGAGGCTTTGCTTGGACAAACAATGGAAACCAGTGGGTTAGTGTGGTCTGTTGTGTGGCTGATTATTGACTGCTGTATAAATTATGTATCTGTGACTACTCTCTCAGTGGTTAGGTAGAACACTATGGCTAATCTGTTTGGTATGATGCAAACATTGGTTCAGGTTGTCAAGGCTGTATCGCCACCTGTGTTAAAGCCCGGGAAGAACATGGTGGAGGTTGAAATCACTCCTCAGAAGGCAGGAGCGTACATGTTGGGGTCGTTGACGGGTGTTCTTGGTCGGCTGAGGCTTCGCTCCCATGTATATTGCTCAACAAGTGCTGGTGGATCAAAAGGAGGTCCTCCAGAAAGCGACGACTACCTAAGCGTAGAGCGCCCTGTTCGGCCAGCTCTGCATGTGAGGCCTAAACAGCATTCCCACACCTTGCTAATCTCTTAACCAGTTGCCATCTATCTCTTTGAGGATGTCTTTGTGTCTTACATCTGTCACAATCACAATGGGTCTCCCTCCCAGCGCATCCATGCAGTTATAATTAGTTCTCTGCCCCCGCTAGTCTGATTCTCAAACCTGTTAGCAGAATTACACATCAGAGCATGGCCAAGGACTATAAAAGCCAGTGAGGTTGTGCCATATGATTGCCGTTTTCTGTTTGCAACTTTGCACCCTATCTTTTCAGAAAAGTTGATCAACTGGCATTTGCTTTCCCCACACCTTTTCAAAGCAAATTTGCTAAGCTGAAATAAGAAGAATGGGCTAACTGGGCTCATTTTGACTTTGACTGTTTATTTTGTATGTTGGGGATTCTGTTCCAGGTAGCTGCTGCACGACCACTTGTGGAAATTGAATGTGTTTCATCTACAGCTCTGTTATTGGGACAGCCTCAGTGGCTTGGCCTTGTGGTCAGACCGCTGCAGTACTCTCTGAAAGGAGGTTTGCTTCAGATATCTGGTGGACCAGGATTGTGCATCCAGGATCCACAGCTGGCTGAAATTGAGCCATTTGTACCAATCCCACAGCCAGCTGCTGATCTTATGGAAAATGGCGTTGTGGAGCAATTTTGTCCAAGTCCTCACAGGAAACATGACCCTACATCTGAAGATTCTCTACAGACAGTGGAAATCCGGGATGCAAGGTTTTCTCTGCCACCTTGCATGGAGAATAGTGCGTGGATCGTCTGGCTTCGAGTTGTGGCTGTGCGCGAGAAAGATGAGAAAGGAGTGCCTTTTTCATCATATTTGAATACGCCATCAACTCCTCGATCACCGCCCCCAGAGCTTACTCCTGCGGGGATGATTGGCCCAATAGATGTGCCGACAGCATTGCAATATGGCTGGGGAGCTAAGTGGGCATCACAGGGCAGTCAGGTGGACAGAGCTGCCAGTGAGCCGCAAGGGATGGATGCTATGCGAGTAGTGAATGTCGCATTAGAGTACGGTGCCGGGCGAAGCCGTCGTTATGAGAGGTAATCTACTGGATCCTCCCTTCGACATATGATGGTCAATGTCACATGTTCTTATGGATGGATGTTCCTTGCCCGTACCCTCAGAACTCTCTCTCTCTCTCTCTCTCTCTCTCTCTCTCTCTCTCTCTCTCTCTCTCTCTCTCTCTCTCTCTCTCTCTCTCTCTCT